GATTTTGACAGTGACCTATTGATCAATCAATTAATTAATGATTGAAAAGAGACACCTCAGCAAAGGTCAGCCGGCCTACTCTGAGTGCTATTCTATTTTTGTTCTGCAATGAATGTTTACAAAACATCACATTACTTTGAGTGTATCCATGAAGGTTTACAATTTCTAAAATATTTTATTTTACTCTACGTCCACTTCATCATAAGGAAGACTGCAAACCTAAGTGTTGCTGCATGGGTTCTGGAATTGCAGAATAAAATCAATAATTATAGTTATGATAGTTCAAATTCTCTATGAGATAGTTCTGACAGTTCATAAACTGATAATTTAACCATGAAGTGCTGGTGTAACAAAGGTTTTTACTTTTAAATTAACCTATAGATCCATAACCAGGGGAGTTTGAAGGGTTTGAACAAAACACCCTTTTGCAGGGGAAAAGGTCCCCTCCAGGTAAATTTTATCTAGGTACACAAAGTTTCATGGTAAAAAGGTCACTTTTTCATAAAAAAAAAACTTTTCAAATTGCTGGTTAAGGGCCTGATCTATATTACCTTCATGATTTTTACACAACTGAAGAGTTGAAATGAATGTGTATTTTAGTAAATTTTATTGTTAGAACTTTATGTTGGAGAGTGTTTATTGCGAGTTTGTATCTGCACATGCATACATTTACACATTTATTTGGTTAAATAATAAATATCAGTTGGGTAATCAAATGTCTATATTACATTCAAACAACAGGACCTAATCTCAGTGTTTCCTTTAATTATATATTTACCCTTACTGAAATTGAAGAAACTAATGGTATTAATAATTATTATCCACTTTCATTAATGTTGCATAGTTTATATACTATGGTTTAATACTGAGATATCTGTTTTTGTATTTATTCATGTCTGCTACGTGTAAGAGGACTTAACTTGATTATTAAGTAATAATAAATAAACTAAAACAACACTGGTGTGCATCAGTACACAAAGCTTACTAGTACGTCCATTAAATTGGAATGCTCCATATACAGTGTATGGTGTATGGTTAAATTCAGATTACAAATATTAAGTTTATCTATGAAGAGATAGTTATTGTCATTAATTTGTTTTTATAAATTATGAGTATCAATTTTTAAAAAAAATGTATGTATATAATCCATAGACATGTTTTATTTACTCAAAATATGTGCTGTCATTATTTTATATTTAGAAATTGGAAATTACTATTATATATACTACCAAGTCATTATTTCATTTTTTGAAATGTAATATTGACAGTCAATTATATTAGTTATGAACTTGTAAAGTTATGAACATTGTCAGACCAGATGAATAACTACTACTAGTCTTTAAAGCAATAATAACTCTTCGTTTCGGCCAAAAAATGAATTTTCCTGGAGTAAACAACAATTTTCCCATACTTACCAATGGTTAATGAATCCATTTTTACATTCAAAGTTAGTCCCTGGTTTTTTTCTAAAAAGTTTGGTTTTTTGTTAAAATCTCTTAAGAGATTTTAACAGAGTATAGCCATCAATGGAGGTCACGTGGTCTAAAGACAAGCTATGATATCAGAATAGTAGCTATAACAGCCGTTTTTGTGGGAAAACAGAATATATTATATTTTATGAGTCACTCACAATGTTTTTATTGTGAAATACAGATTTCATACGAAGAGTTATTATCCCTTTAAGGATATTGTAACCCTTCATTATCATCCAGATACCAAAAATGAGGTTTTTACTGCATCTAATTATTCAAATATTCAATAATGCATCTATCTTTATACTGTTTAAAAAAAAAA